ACTTCATTACTCCGGCCCGACATAAATAATCCAGGGAATTCATTTTACGCTCCTGAAAATATGGAGGCGCCTTTTTTGTGGGGGATAAAGTGTGTTTTGCATGGTTTGTAGATTGCGGGATGGAGTTTGGCTATTCGGAGGCCTACACTTGAGATCGGCACACCTGTGGCTTTTTAATATGTTAATTAAAAGACAAACAATGAATATAAACACAATCGTATCAGGTCTGGGAAGAAGATCGAAGGAGGAATAATGACTTAATGCCGTCATGTGATAATATGTAATTATACACAGAATCGGAAGTTCCTAATCATCTTGTTGTTGCCTTTTTTTCAACTGCAACAAGAGAAGACGATTTAAGTTTCCCGACAAGGCTGCAGATCTTTGCAAAGTTAAGTTATAACATAATAAAGCAGCCCGTCTTTACAAATTAATTACTTCAGCTCGTGATCGTGTTCAACTCGCTAAACAAATTAATATTTCAAAACGACCAGTTCACCCTGACTTGCTACTTTGGTCACATTCATGTCCATTCCATCACTTTAATTTAGCCACTTTGTGTTTGACTGAAATTTTATGGCAATAACCTTGATTTACAGTTAAACAATCGCTGAACATCGGTGTTACCTCAAGTGTTAAAACGTATTGATCCATTAGCACGTCAAAAACCTCTAATTAATTCGCTTCTTGTCGAGTCGCGGCTTATTGCTTCCGTTGCAAATCTCCTGTCATCTATAACTCTACAGTTTAATCCGAAACTCGGATTTTTTCGTCGCGCTTTCATAAAATATCCTATTCGTTCGCTTCTTTCAAAGGTCTCTTCCATTGATCAAAGTAGCGGTTCCGTTCCGGTCAAATGCCGCATTCCGGTTCGTTAACATTGCACAATTGGGTGTCGCAGCTTAAGTCTGGAAATCGGATACAAGTATGTAAATAAGTCTTCTTTTCGGTAGATTAGTGGGTTGGCGACGTTACAATGCCCTCGGTTCGTACTGAAACCTGAACGAGCCGTTTCAAACCACCACGGAACACCAATTCCGGTGCGGGGGTGAAACAAACACATATGCGACAAGTCTCCGGACTTTGAACCGAAAACGTGCCTTCGACGTAAATAATGCAGAGAATTAACACGAAAAGTGGAGCGCAGACGGCGATAATAGCAGCCGGGGTTTCAGATGATGGAAAGTTTGCAGACAATGGAATTAAAGATTGTTTTTGATCTAGTTTGAATACAAAAATGGGCTTTCGAGATCATAAATTATTCAGGAGTGACGCAACGAAAGATCTGTATTCTCGTTACGGTTGGAATCGATTCCGGCGAGTCGATGGAATATTATTGCATAATTAACGGCGATGTCGAGGTCAAGTTAAAGGCCATAACAACAAATTGTCGTAATAAATCGCTGATTAGCGAGAAAATCGCTCGGACTAGTTCCAGTTTCCATTCCGAGACTCTCCCAAAAACGGAAAAAAATCGTTCCAGATAAATCCGACACCTGACCGTCGCAATTTGCATTGCAAATTAATCGAGCGAAATTTAAATTCATTCACGGGTTTAGAAGTTGCTGGTCGTTTTGGCGCGCTTACAAAGGTCGGTTTTTTTAATACACGGGTGCAAATTGCTTCGTTCAATATGAACACAGTTCTAGTGTTACGACGTTGATGAATTATGCAGCGGTTTTATGGCGTGCACCGCATTCATCACAACCGTCTGGTATTTATTTAAAACGACCCTTTTCGCTCTTGAAAAAGCACGCAGAAATGAAAAAGTCGCCGGCAAACGCACACACGAACGATTAATTTAAGGGAGATTTTCCTCATTGATTTTCCGCACGAACGTAGAAATGTCAAAAGGGAGTTTTGAGGAGATCTTCAAAGGTTCCGGGCCTTTGACGGCGGGAATTGATGAAGGGGACAAATGGCCAAAGCTGGGGATTGTGTCGTAACATTTTTACGGAAAACGGATTGCGCAAAGCGGAGTTATTAACGTCAGATGGAAACTTGTTGGACGTTATGAAATTGCAGAACTGGTTGTTATTATGTGTGTCGTGAGGAGAAATAAGTTGAAATCGAATTCCCTTTGTTTGTAGTATTAATAGTGTGCGAAGCAGATAAAGACCAATTGTGGAAGACAATTACCAAGTCCTAAAATAGGCCTTTCATGGAGAAACAATCGACGCAAATAACGAACGCCGAGGAAATGAGTATCAAGCGGTTGCCGCAAAAAGCGGCCAAACGCTAACGAAAGGAAAACGAATGGTTCCAAAAGAAGTTAATTGTATTGTATAATTTGACACATCGTGTAGAAGAACGCCCATAGCTCATGTTAACGATGCCCATATTTCACCATTGTTTAACAGCCAGTCATATCGAGTTATCGTCGGGATCAATCTCGGCTCGAGTAAGAGACCTCATAATCCGGCCCACGTCACTGTATCGAGTGCAATGCACACGTCCATGAACCGCACGATTCGCGTCACTAAATCCACTAGAAATTTTCGCAAATCAAAGCAGACTCCACGTACTACGAACGTAAGCTAAGAAAGTATTGTAATCGAGTCTGTCGACCGACTTACTACTTATATATTTTTTCTTGTTTCCGTCGTGTCTGTCTGCCGTCTGTCCGCGTCTGTCTTTCCCCGTTCCCATCGATTAAACCAGTAGCTCTCAAAGTTTTTTCAAAAGACACCTCTTCTGGCAAGAATTCTATGGTTGCGACAGTGTCGCAAAAGTGTTAACGCAACTAAGACGGAAAATGTCTTGGTGGCGTCTTTTGATTTGAAAATTCCCTTGCGTCCCAGTCCTTACGTGACCCCCCCGGGGGTCGCGACCCACACTTCGGGAACCTCCGAATTAAACCAATTGTCCCAATTTAAACCTGATTTCTACCGACACACGGTCGGCTCTTTCTCCTCCCATTGTCATCTTCGATTAGTTATGCATTCACACACGCACACCCACATTCTCGTACTGACTTGTAATTACCGTACGTGACTGGCGTAGCTCGTTACCGCCCGCGACGACAAATCAAGTCGGCCATCTGCCATTTGCATATTCGGACCCCTCATTACCAAATTACCAGAACCCAGAAGCTTTCAGGGCGTCATTCCGGCGTCCGTCCGTGCCGTAATCGAATAATTCCGTCGCTGCTGCACGCCGGCCCGCGTGCACCTTTATCGCGTTACCATGCCAACCCCCCTATTTCCCTCCGTGTTGCAATCGTAAACACACGTGGCCCCCCGGGCTCGGCAACCCTCTAACTGCGTCAGCCACCCTCGAAGCGTCTTGCGTCAAGTGGGATCCGTTTCAGGGGCATTTACGGTTTTTTGTTTGCAGAATGTTCGCGGTCCACGATTGAACACATGGATCGGCAAACACGGATTCGGAATCCGGGGGTGGATGCAGCGGAAATGTTAGTGTGCAATTTGCGCAAAAATCGTACAGCGGACACGCGATCTAAAAATAGCGGCTCGGTCTTTGTTCGAGCGGTAATTACGGAGGTAAATTACCTGCAGGTATGCAGGAAGCGCGACTCTTGAGATCAGGCGGCGAGATAGAGAATGTCCGGAAATCGATTGAAACCCGGAAAAAATCGAGATGATTCATGGCGATTGTGTGACTAACGGTGGAAGGCGAAGAGGAGTTTAGAGGCTCGACGGCGTCAGGAAACGGCGAACCCGTCTTAATTAAAACAGTCGTGGTTCTGCTACATCTAGACATCTAGACAAAGTCATTGTTCCTTCCAATTATTAAGATGATTCTAAATTTGGACAATTCTGCACCACTTTGGTGTTCCTCAAGGTACCGTTTTAGTGCCCCTCTTTTACCTGTAGTACTTTTTAAGAAAAATATAACGGAATTTATTAGTTCAAAATTGGAGTTCTGCTTATCTGAAGTTTCTACATACAGAGAGTGTGAGAGGCGAATCTTTAGATGACAACGTACACAGAATTTACCAAATTGGAAGACTGTGGTACCGTCCCCAAAACGCTTTGAACCCAGTTTCTGATTTTTCTTTGCACGTGTGTTTCAAAACCACCCTGTATTTGTTTTGCTTTCCATCTTGGCTGTACGTAATAACAAAAAAAAATAATTATACCTAATTATAGCCAGACATGGCGAGAATCTGACCTAATAAAAGGTGTTGAACTATCCTTCCGGCAAAAACGGTGGCGCCGATTTAACGATTAGAATGTTCTAATTGCGTCGCTCTAATTACCAGCATTAATCATCCTTTGATGTTTTATGCGAAAAATCCTACTATCACTGTCTCTGTACGCAGAGAGGGCGCCTAGCGAGTCTGGTATGCGGCAAAACCTCACACTATCGACATGTCAAGATAATTAAGCTCTCGATACTCAATTCACGATGACTCTCGCATAAATTTTTTCAATCAGTCGTGTCTAATTAAATCTCTCGAGGGATCGAACGTGAACGCGTAAAATGATTCTCCAGACGGCGCTAAATTCCGTCTCACACTCGAAACCCCGTAAACTTTGTTTGCATAACTGTGAAACCCGTTCTAAGACCGAAACCGAAACTCGAATAATAAAAAAAGATATAACTTTCTCGTTATGTGAGGAGTTATGATCGCGATGACGGCGAACTTTTACTTCACAGACCTGAATCTAATTAAATCCCCGTAGGTCATCGATCGCTAGAATCCAAATCGAACTCTGAACTTTAACGTAGGTACGCGCGAAATAAAAGTTCGATCCCACATGTTCCGATTATCGGAGTTGGAGATTTATTATAGCTATTGCCCTTATCTCCGTGCTAAATGGCCCATGTTGCATGAAGGTTCCGCGCACTCCTAAGGCGGAAAATTGAAACGTCCTCAGTAACTTTATTGTCCGACCAGTTTTCCCCGTTTGACCGTATCTGTTCTGGCGATTGACGGTTAAGAGTGCCGCGAGCTATGGGTCTGTCTGGTCGTTACCCAAGCCTCGTTTTACTAAAAGCACTAAAAGATTCACTCTCTAAAAGTGTGCTTTTTTCAGATGGAGAGGATAACGTTACCTTTAATCCTCACTCTTCTGGCCTTCGTGCGTGGAGAAACGTCGGTCTATATTTTATCCGCAAATTTAGGCCAAGTGGTGACATCGTCGACGTTGCAATGGGTGTCGTCGTCCAACTTCAACGAGAGCATGCTCAGTAATGCCGTCACCGCCGCATTCCAAACAGAAGACGGTACTAAATAAAACTCACCGACGCTTCGACAACCACTCACTATTTATTTCCAGATGTCGACAACACCGACGGTCAACTCACCACCAAGCCCGTCTACGTTTGCCGCGCCAAAACCAACTTCCTTTGGGTTGCTGGTCAACTCAGACCTAAACAACGAGCTTGCATAGTGTCCATGTACAAGGTGGTGACGCACCACGAGAATTTCGAGCTTCTCATCAACATCGAGAACAGCGCTCGATTGAGCTGGTTGTTCAAGGACAAGTACATGGCGAGTCCCCAAGGTTCCGTCAGCAGCGGCGAAGACTCCAAGAGCTTTGTGGCAAGACGAGAAGCCAAAAGTCACAACAAACCCGGCTCCCTCAACTACTACGTCGGCGTGTTCAACCCGACCGACAATTTGGGCGTGTACGAAGTCGTCGATCAAAACGACGAAGAGATCAAAGCCGAAGACGGGCAGATTCTGGTCGAAACCGAACCCATTAGCTACGAGATGCGGTCCGTCAGGTTCGATCGTATTCGTGCCAGATACAACAAGAAACGCAGGGTTTTGGGTCACGCCGTCTTGAAAAACACAGAGAGCGGAGTGCAGAGGGTCGACACCGTCATTACGTACAACTACACTTACTCGATTTATTGGGGCAAAGGTCACGGGCTTCTAACCGGTCTTAATTTCACCGTGTACATGAAGAACGGGACGAAAACCGGTAACTGGGCCTTACCTAAATCGCAGAACATGGTCGAAACCCAAACCATCGAAAAGATCCTAGACGAAGGTACCGCGGTTAACGTAACCCTCTATGGCAACTACACCGAGTCCGACGTCCCCTACACAACTACTGTGGTCGCTCTGTTCAAAGATAAAGATCAAATGTCGCGTTTGTTGTCCGATAGCAAACGCGAAAATTTGATCACTGACGTGATCATTGACTTTGGGCCGGTGTACTTCTTGCATAACAACAGCCACGTTCCTACCACTACGACAACCACTACCACCACCACGACCACGACTTCGGCCACCACGAGCAAGAGGAAGTCGACGACGCACAAAGTCCTTCCTTTGGATATACCCCACGTCGTGCAGGTAGGAAACTCCGAGAAGCAGCCTGACGATGTCTCGCCCATGAATATCCACGAGCACAGCAGCATGATGTCGGACGCCAGCAACGCCGAGGGCGACGTGGCGTCGAGGACGAAGAAGGTCTCCAAGGACTCGAATTCTTCGGGGCGAGTGGTGGGCGACTTCCTGGTGCTGGGGCTGTTGGCGATTGTCGCGCGTCGGGTGACGTAAGGTGGCTCTTACATTCCTGATTTGGACTAGTATTGAATGTGGCTTGCTTTAGAGTGTGCGCGTCGAGGATGGTGAGTGCGGAAGAGTCGAATGGTGTGAACTCGGCTTTAATTATTCTATCATCTGTAGGATTATGTACCGGTTATTTTCATCTGTAGTCATCATATGAAGAGTGTAAATAGACTGTAAATATGTGGACTAGGAGAAGGTACGGCACCTCTAAGTGTTAATAATAGTGGTGGTGATATTTTAAAAGCGAAAAGTGACGTCCATGTTTGTTAGCGATTAAGGCGGCGACATTGTACCAGGCGAGGATATATTTTTGCTATTATCAATTCAGGCTAGTTTCAGTATTGATGATGAGAATGTACAAAGCGAGACGAGCGTTTCATTCCATTGTTTCAGTACAAAATTTTCCCCAATTTAGATTAGAAAGGAGTTTCTGAAAAAGCTTCAAGTATCGGAACCAGTGAACGTATTTAAACAATTCATAGATATTCAGATACATGTGATAATGTTGTATTTATGCTACATAGCTTCTTTTCAAGCTTTCCAAGTATTCAAATCAAAAAAATTCAAAAATATCAAAAAATCGTTGAGAATTTTCCAATGTTCGTGTTCCTAATAATATCAACCAAGCACTTTGATGTTTGTTGCTCTAGATCTAGAGGACGGAGACTTTGATTGAATACTACCAGACAGCGTGATTACCCATTGACTGACACATGTAAAAAAGATTACTTGTTCTAAATGTACATTTCATGTAACTGTAGATATTTTAAAATATACTTAAAACCATATACAAAGAACCCTTCTCGTTTTATTAACCCGTCCTTCATAATTGCTGCCAATTTAATTAAAACGGGATCTCACTCAGGGTCGCATTCTCCGTTTCCGCCAGAGGGTCTTTGAAATGTAATATAAAAACGACTAAACAAAATTTTTTAGACATGGATTATTGAAGGAATATTTTTCGTCTAACGGAAATTCTATCAAATGTCGGTCAATCTAAATCGGTCAGCTAAATTAGGGCTTGTTGTGTATTGGGCATTTTTACTTCCTGATCGCAAGGTAAGATACTATTGTACTTTTATGTTTTCTCGACGTTTTATGACCCCTAGAGTCTAGAGTACGAAAAAACATGTCGCCCGTGTCCGTGTCTGCCGTCTGTCCGAATTTTTATTAGACAGATAATCTCCGAAACTACTGCACCGATTTTTGTCAAATTTTATATCTGTATTGGGAATATCTTCTAATGGTAAAACGCTAACCAAAATTTGGATAAACATACCCATCAACAGGTTGTCGTCTATCCAAAATTTACCTTAGTAATTATTTTCTCACATGTCAGAAAATCACAATTATATAAGAGCATTTCGCAATTTAATTTTGAAACTGCAAAATTTAATCAAAATCTATTCGTTTATAATAAAAAAGTTGATGACGTCAACTCAAAATTTATAAATAAATTCATCTCCGAAATATGCAGAATATTGTTAACTCTATACTTGTGGTTTATAAATGCACTTATAGAATTTTAGAATTATATAAGTAACTGGTAGGTGACCTAAAATATTATTAATGAGGCAATTTACTGTAATGCAGAAATATTGTTGACGTCACGATAAAATTTCATAATGGAAAAACTTGACTTGACTCAATTGAAGTATACGCGTAGCATGCTTCTTTACGTGTACTTTAACATTACATACATATTTTTATTTTAACTTATAATTTTTTGAAAAATCTGGATTATCTACCAGCCTTCGACAAATTTTTTGATATCACAATTTTTCGTTTTTACGTTTTCTTCGATTTTATAATTTTTTCACATCAGTTTTTTGTTTCTTTTATTTTCTTTATTTTTTCGATTTTTCCATTTTTCAATGTTTCGGTTTCATAATTTTTTGTTTTTTCCACTTCGAGTCTTTCAGTTTTTTGTTTTTCAATTTTGCAATTTTTCATTTTTTAATTTTTCGGTTTCTCAATTTTTCCATTTTTTAATTTTTCAAATTTTCATTTCCTGAATTTTTCAAGTTGTTAATTTTTTTTAATTTTCATTTTCCCGTTTTTTTAATTTTAATTTTTTTATTTTAAATTACAATTTTTCGTTTTTTCTTTTCCTTTATTTTTTTCAAGGTTTCTTTTGATTTTATGGTTTTTCGTTCAATCAATTTTTCAGATGTTCAATTTTGCAATGTTGAATTTTTCAATTCTCCGATTTCTTTAATATTCAATATTTCAATTTTACAATTTTTTGTTTCTTCAATTTTTTTAATTTTTAATTTCCAAATTTTAGATTTTGCAATGTTTCCATTTTTTAGATTCGAAAAGTTGAAAAATCGAAACGATGAAAAAATTAGAAATAGCAAAATCGAAAAATTGCAAAATGAAGAAATGAAAAATTGAAAAGTCAAAAAGTTGAGCAATAAAAAGTTGTAAACTCGTGAAACTTCAGATCGAAAATTACAAAATCTAAAAAACTTTAAAAACCTTAAAAATTTAACAATGAAAACTCGAAAAGTGGTCTGGTAAAATGGAAAAAACAAAAAAAATTGAAAAATTGCAAATCGAAAATTTTTAAGAAACAAAAAAATTTAAACTGAAAAACCAAAACATTGAAATTGAAAAGCGAAAAAATTATGAAATCGGAACATTGAAAAAATGCAAACTGAAAATTTGGAGAAATACAACATTAAAGAATGGAAAAGTTGAAAAATTAAAAACTGAGAACTCGAGAAATTTTAAAACGAAAAATTGAAACACTCAAGAGTTCGAAATTGAAAAACTGAAAAATTTTAACTTAAAAACTCGAAAATTGCAATTCGAAAAACTCAAACAAAAAAAAAATAAAAATTGAAAAATCGAAAAACTGAAAAAAAGAGAAAAGCAATATCGAAAAACTGAAAAATCGAAAAATTAGAAATTGGAGAAATGAAGAAACGAAAAAATGAAACATTGAAAAAGTAAATAAAAATCGAGAAACTTAACAATCGAAAAAAAAATGAATCGAAAAATTGGAAAGAAGAAAAAACGCATTGAATAATTTGAAAATTCAAAAATTGTTACATTGATAAATTATGGAAACGTCAAAATTGTGAAGTCGAAAAACTGCAACATTGGAAGATCGAAAAATTGAAAAAATTCTAAAATCATAAAATTGAAAAAGCGAAAAATTTCAAAAAACGTAGTTATAATTACATATTATTTAAAATGAATATTAGATCAAACTACAAATCTAAAATTGAAAAAACGAAAAATTAAAAAATCTAAAAGTTGAAAAATCGAAAAATTGAAAAAATTCAGATGGAAAACAAGAAAAATTATAAAATCAGGACATTGAAAAACCATGAAATTGAAAAAGTAAATAAAATAGATAACGGACACGAAAAATTGGAAATCGAAAAACTGAAGAAATAAAAAATTGAAAAATCGAAAAGTTGAGCAATGAAAAACTGGAAACTCGTGAAACTGCACATCGAAAAATTACGATTTCTAAAAACTGAAACATTCAAAAGTTGGAAAATCGAAAACCTGTAAAATTTAACACCGAAAACTCGAAGAGTTTGTCTCGTAAAATTGAAAAAATAAAAAAAAATTGAAAAATAGCAAATAAAAAATTTTTAAGAAACAAAAAATTGAAAAAATTTAAAACGAAAAACCAAAAGATTGAAATTGAAAAACCAAAAAATTATGAAATTGAAAAAATGCAAATCGAAAATTTGGAGAAATACAAGATTAAAGAATGGAAAAATTGAAAATTGAAAGTCGAGAAATTTTAAAACGAAAAACTGAAACACTCAAAAGTTCGAAACCGAAAAACTGAAAAATTTTAACTTGAAAACTCGAAAAATTGCAAATCGAAAAACTGAAGAAACAAAACATCAAAAATTCAAAAACTGAAAAAACGAGAAAATGTGGAAAATGGAAAAATTGCAAATTGGAGAAATGAAGAAACATTGAGAAACTAAATAAAAATCGGGACACTAAACAACCGAAAAAAAGGGAAACGAAAAATTGGAAAGAAGCAAAAACGAATGGAATAATTTGAAAACCAAAAAATTGTAAAATCGATAAAGTTTAGAATCGCCAAAATTGTGAAGTCGAAAAACTGTAACATTGGAAATCAAAATTGAATAAATGAAAGTTTTAACTTTTTAAAATCCCATAAAAGTTGAAAAATCGAAAAATTGAGAAATCCAAAAACTGAAAAAATTCGCAAAAAGAAGAAAAATTCCAAAGTCAGAACATTCAAAAACAATAAAATTGAAAAAATAAAGAAAATAAATAACTCAAACGAAAAATTGGCAATCAAAAAACTGAAAATGAAAAATTGAAAAATCGAAAAGTTCAGCAATGCAAAATTGAAAATTCCTGAAACAGCAGATCGAAAAATCCAAAAGTTGGAAGTCGAAAACCTGAAAAATTTAACATTAAAAACTCGTAAAATTGAAGAAACGAAAAAAATAAAAAATTGATAAATTGCAAATCGAAAAATTGAATCTGAAAAGCCAAAAAATTTAAATTGGAAAGCCAAAAAATTATGAAATCGGAAGTTTGAAAAATTGCAAGTCGAGAATCCGGTGAAATAAAAAAATAAAGAATCGAAAAGTTAGAAATTGAAAACTCGAGAAATTTAAAAACTATAAAAACGCAAAATCGAAACACTCAAATTGAAAAAGTGAAAAATTTAAACTTAAAAATTCGAAAAATTGCAAATCGAAAAAGTGGAAAATCGAAAAATTGCAAACTGAAGAAATAAAGAAACGAAAAACTGAAACATCGAAAAAAACAAATGAATCGAAAAATTGGAAAGAAAAAAATGAATCGAATAATTTGAAAACCCAAACGCTGTAAAATCGATAAATTATGGAATCGTCAAAATTGTGAAGTCGAAAAACTGTAACATAGGAAATTGAAAATTTGGAAAATTGAATAAATGAAAAAGTTTTAAAATCTAATATAAGTGAAAATTGGAAAACTTCTAAAATCATACAATTGAAAAAGTGATAAATTTTTAAAATCCTATCCTATTACATATTAATTAAAATGAGAACTCAAAAAAAATCCTATTTTAAAATTGAAAAAATGAAAAATTTTAAAAGGTGAAAAATCGAAACATTGAAAAATCCAAAAACTGAAAAAAATTCACATGGAAAAGAAGCAAATTATAAAATCAGGACATTGAAGAACCGAAAAATTGAAAAAATAAAGAAAATAAATCATCCAAACGAAAAATTGGAAATAAAAAAAACTGAAAATAAAAAATAGAAAAATCGAAAACTTGAGCAATGAAAAATTGAAAACTCGTGAAACTGCAGATCGAAAATCTCCAAAATCTAAAAATTCAAACATCCAAAAGTTGGAAAATCTAAAACGTGAAGAAGAAAAAAAAAAAATGAAAAATTGTAAATTTGAAGAAATGAAAAATTGAAAAAATTGAAACCAAAAATCCAAAAAATTGAAATTGAAAAGCCAAAAATTGCAAATCGAAAACTACAGAAACAAAAAAAAAGAGAAATTGAAAATTTTGAGAATAGTGCGGAGACTTCCGTCCCCTGATTAGTGGACACGGGATTGTGCGTTTGACCGGTTTGTCGTTAGACCGCTAGACCGTTCTGGACTAAACTTTTGGACGTACTTCCTAATCAATCACATTTAACAGTAACACGTTTTTAGACAAATATCTTTTGTTTCAACACAGCCCCCTTTCCGGCCGATATCCTAAAAGGAGCGAGAAAGACTCGCGCCGGTGCCTTTGAAGCACACGGACGGAAACGCCGTATTTGCGGTATTTTAAAATAGCGAC